CAGGGGGCGGAGGGACACAGCCTGGACCAGGCCTGCTCCGGGCTTCTCCCTCACGGTGGGCCCAGCCCAGGTCTCCATGCCAGAGCCTGTGGGTCGGAGGAGCCTCTGGCAGGACTTTGGGGGTCTCGGCCCTGCCCCAAACAGCCCGACTAACCTGTTTCCTAATGTCTGAAATCCTTTACGAAGACAAAGCTTCTACAAATAAATCAGAGCTGTACTGTCAGGTGCTGCACAGGAGGAAGCTGGACCCCACATGGCAGACCAGGCTCAAGTCCCCACCATGATGGCCCGATGGTTGAGGCACCGGACTCCGACATGGCCAACCATGGTTCAAGTCAGGTGGCTTGCCTTCTCTTTTTCGTTTTCTCTCTTTATTTCCTCCTCACTCTCTCACGCCTGCTGGCATGAGAAAACTAGGACTGGGCAGGGCTGGTGGCATTTTCTCCCTAAACGTTCACTAAGATGTCACCGAAGCATCCTGACCTGAAGTCAGCTTTGTTTTGCCTTTGTGAGGAAGTCTGAGAACGGGCTCCGCAGGCTCCCCACTGCAGGCTCCCCACTGCAGAGTCCTAGACTCACTCGAGAGCCGATACTGCTGAAGTGAGCGTTAGGGCTGCCCGCCTCACCTAAGGGACTGAATGCACTGGCCCAGAGCGGCTCGTGGTGGTCCCCTGTCTTTTTATTTATTTTTTTTAAGAGGTTTTTGTGCTATAGAGCACGTCTGCTCAGCACACAGAGACAGACAGACAGAAAGCGAGAAATCACCCCCGGGGGGATGGCCACGCCGCAATCCCTTCTCCTCCATTCTCCTCTCGGGATCTTGGGCACGCACACACGTGCCTGGTGTGAGTTTAAGCCACCGGGTCTGAGATGCGAACGGTGGTTGACTACGTGGGAGTCCAGAGACATAGCCATTACGCTAACTGCTGGTCCCTCATTTTTTGTTTTTAAAGACAAGGTATCCCTGGTGGGGCCTGGCACTGAGCCTGCCTGGTCTCCGGGTCGCTGAGAGTACAGGTGCATGCCACGCACCTGGCCTTCAGGTTACACTGGGAGTCGCACCCAGGCCTCCCCGTGGCCCCAGCCTGTGCCACCGTGGCAAGCCCCTCTATTAC